ACGGCTCGCAAATGACGTTAACAATCAACTTTCACTTTTCAAGCAACTTATGTCGACGGAATTGCCCCTAAATTTGGAAACTATGCGCCCATACGCAACAACAAATGGACAGAAAATAAAGTGGTTGCTAAAGAATCCTCATTACTTTCGAGTATACAATGTTATTGCAACAGTTACACTTTGAGTTCAGGGAATAGTGACGAAACTGAGGATACAGGGGCTGAGGTTTACACGCAGCAAGAGACACGAAATATCGGACACGGAAAGGTCAAACGTATAATAACTGATGACTTACCTACAGGATTACCGATAATTCTACATCTTCCTCTGCTAAACTAGTTTGTCAGAACTTGTAAATGACCTGGGATTTCATGATTTTCCACATCAAGTACCGAAAGAAGCGTGTCAATCCTGTTGCTAATTGTTGAAGCAAAAAATTTCTACCATCTACACTCATTATTAACCCAATAAAGGACCGGTTTATGGACAGTTAGTTTGTTCATATCAGTAGAATAGAGAGTGGAAACTGCCTGAAGGTAAGCCTGTTTGTCGGTGATTTAAGGCCTCCTCACTACCAGTGACTGATTTACCTTGGGAGCATATTTAGAGTGCTAGAAAAGAGATCAATTTTTTCCGGTATTTTTAACTGAGGAACAACGTGCTTTAATCAAAGCAAACCAACTCACTCATGTTGAAATACCGCGTTCTGTGCCATTAAAGCCAGCAATCGAATAAGTGACGACCTCAATGTATCCCTACGTCGTCGACGTTGCACATTCTTCTGTTTCAAATCGATCGATTCGCGTAGAATTGGATGCAAATCCTCCAGCACATCTCGAAAAGCACCGGGCTGTATACGACTTAGTCCGCAAATTATTGACTCGCGCAGTTCAGGATGGTCGCAGCGCAGCAAGGGAATGATTAACTTCACCAAATCGCGCGCCTTCTCCTTTGCCGATATGAAGAGTTTGCTGTTCACGAGGTGCTGATGCTGGCGGGGACTCATCCCGGGATTCAATTCAAACTCTCCTGAACCGCTGATCGCAGCACTGGATTCGTAACTTGGAAGAAGGGCGATATCGGCGGAGCTGCACATAGCATTTCATCGATGGTTAGCATTTAAGTGTTTCGTTTTCGGTTATTAATTAGATAAATGGATTTATGAGTAAATGGATGTGGATTCAATTATTCCAGGACACATCTACCCTGAGATTGTGAAACCGGAGCTTCTATCCAAAGGATGAGAGTTGAAAGTCTATAGTCATTAAATACGAATTGCCTTGACAGCGAATATGCCTTCTGTGAAGTGGGTTCAGTGATTATCCAATCATTAAAAATTAAATTACTTGCTGGTATTATTATCAAGGTTTATTAAACTCAGCTTGAACGCGTCTGTTGATCAAGAAAGGGTAGATTGGGAATGACACCTCTTATGGGCATGCAAGGAAGACATCAAGTAAATCAAACGTCCCCCCCCCCAACTTATGCTATGATTAAGGTGGAAAGATAGAATATTATAGTTGCAGTAAAACTTCTTATCGGTACACTCTAAAAGTCAGGACTTCGATTCCTGTTCTAGACAATCTCAAAAGCTCCATCAATAGATGACAGTATGTGTAATCGACCTTGAAAGGTAAATGGAATAGATCATCACCATCAAACCCAAGTTACTGCCCCACAAGCCCCTCAGAAATAAAAACCAGTGGAAGGGGAATAAGGTTCTTAGATGATGTAGCGATAACGAAAAATAGAGATGAGTGTTACGCGCATCAATCGTCAATCCCGATCGCTATAGTAAAAAAAGGATAACGAAAAGCATTGAGCCATCTCTATAACTTGCTAGTGAGCTGGAGTGCTTTTATTAAAAGAAACCGCTAAAGAATCGGAGATGATGGAAAAAAAAACAAACAAAAATAGCTGCAAAAAGCCCGCCCTAACTTTTGAGGTGTATAAAGTCGAAACTGATCGTTTGATGTCTTCAAATGCAATTTCAACGTTGAGATCGACGCTCGATGATCAAACGATACTGAAAGTTACAGCTTGGATAGCTATATCTTTATTAAGATCGTACATTGAGTCAGTGATGCACGAGATGCACTATCTTTTTGACTAAGCAAGTCAGTCCCAACGTTTCAGGCTTTATTTTAATAAACTGACACCACAGAATGGGATAAACCAATTAGACAGCTTGAAACTACGATTAAAACGTTGAAGGCGGAAAAAACTTAGCGAGCTACAAGGTCGGAGACCTGATGAGAGTTCCTGATTTCTCTGGTCGGTTCCTGACTTTATGCCCTGAAGTCAAAGGGAGTGACCCAGAATGAAAATAGGAATGTTTCTTCTTAATTGAGTGAAGGATATCACAGACATTTACAAGCTCAGAAAAATTCCCGTGCCAATGTCGTATGAGCTTCCACCTAAGCACCTTTGCCCTTGTAGTTAAACATTCCATGATCATTTGAATTTCTCAATCTCGTTGCGCGGTTAAATTCCAAGCATATTTAAAAGAATAAAACACGAAAGATTTTAGGGTTTTGTAAGTGCAAAAGTACAGACTCAACTCCTTTCTAAGTAATGGCAAACATAATTTAGCTACTTTTCTGCTCTCTCGTCTAACCAAATAATGCAGAAGCGAAGACCTTCATTTTCGATAGGCGGCCTGTCCCAGTAAAGTTAATGAAC